AATTATATATTCCTAATTCCGACACTTAGATACATATCTATGTGTGTATGCGTATGTGTTACTGCAAGCAGCGCATGCAATAATGCACAATACTTATATATATTGCTTTTTATTACTTAAGGAAATTTATAAATAAAAATCGTATATTACAATTTTAATAGAATGTCAAAATAATTACGAATCATGATTGCAGAATATAATCGTCACTATAAATGCGACAATTATATCAAGAATACTTATAGCACGGATTATAATAATTCATTCCCAAGATATTTCGCGAATATATCTTTTTAAAAAAAATTTATTAATGAGTGAAGGAATAGTTTAGAACTAATTAGTCTTAGATGTCAGTAACTGTTTAATCATATTTATGTCATATTCAAACATCAATATATCTGGATAGAACGAATGTTCCCGAACTTAGAGTTGAGACGTTAGTCGCGCGCGGTTCTCCTTCGCCATGTCTATCCTCGCATCGTCAGTATAAGGACAAAGTAAGTTGCCGCTGCGGTGTCGTACGAAAGGTATTATCCGTTGTTCCTGGAGTGCATGGGGGTTTGGTAATCGGCTAAAATGTCTGGCGAATGCCCCATGGGTATCCCTATCGGTGCAAGAGTGTTGGATATAGAAACGCTTTTGCGTAATGAGTAGTTGAGATTCCTTGTTAAGGAACGCTCGAACTCTGCACTGCGGTTTCCGTGGTTCCCAACAGATTTCGGCGCTTCGCCTAGTTTCTTCCTCCGGTTCCACTTTGTTGCCGATCCTGCGAAGAATACAACCCGTACTACGCCCGACATGCAATTCGTGCAACTCGTGAAGTGCGTCAATTTTAGTATATGTTATTTTGACAAGCCAACCGTGTATAATTACCTAACGAATCCTTCCTTTTCGAGTTTGAAATCATAATACATCTTGCATCCGCGCACTTTCTCGCATCCGAAGTAATTAGCAGTGCTTTAAAGCACTAAATCCATAAAGAGAACGTATGAATATATTTCGCGAATATATCTTTTTAAAAAAAATTTATTAATGAGTGAAGGAATAGTTTAGAACTAATTAGTCTTAGATGTCAGTAACTGTTTAATCATATTTATGTCATATTCAAACATCAATATATCTGGATAGAACGAATGTTCCCGAACTTAGAGTTGAGACGTTAGTCGCGCGCGGTTCTCCTTCGCCATGTCTATCCTCGCATCGTCAGTATAAGGACAAAGTAAGTTGCCGCTGCGGTGTCGTACGAAAGGTATTATCCGTTGTTCCTGGAGTGCATGGGGGTTTGGTAATCGGCTAAAATGTCTGGCGAATGCCCCATGGGTATCCCTATCGGTGCAAGAGTGTTGGATATAGAAACGCTTTTGCGTAATGAGTAGTTGAGATTCCTTGTTAAGGAACGCTCGAACTCTGCACTGCGGTTTCCGTGGTTCCCAACAGATTTCGGCGCTTCGCCTAGTTTCTTCCTCCGGTTCCACTTTGTTGCCGATCCTGCGAAGAATACAACCCGTACTGCGCCCGACATGCAATTCGTGCAACTCGTGAAGTGCGTCAATTTTAGTATATGTTATTTTGACAAGCCAACCGTGTATAATTACCTAACGAATCATTCCTTGTCGAGTTTGAAATCATAATACATCTTGCATCCGCGTACTTTCTCGCATCCGAAGTAATTAGCAGTGCTTTAAAGCACTAAATCCATAAAGAGAACGTATGAATATAGTATATTTTATAAGTTTTAATTAACGTCTTGTTCTAAGAAATGGAAAGGTGCTGCTTGGAAAATGTGTTTTGCGAATGGAAAAATTTATTTATATAATAACTTAGGTTATATATATAGTATTTTAGAATAATCTTTGATAAACGTTTAATTATCATTAATTAAAATTAATTTATTAATAGAAATTTAAGTGTATTATTATGTTATTTGTGCAATATATATCCAGATTTTCATCTCCCGTAAATAAATATATAATGCATATGTAATATATCTGTGCTCTGTTTATCCTCTTCCGGTTATCTATTCTATACCAGGAAAGCTTTTGCAAATGAATAATTCGATAGAAAATTAAGAATTCAGGACACTTTCCGTTTTGCTTCCGCCCCATACGATATTGCCTGTTCAACATCCAAAAAAATAAATAAAGAAATAAGATTTAAAAGATACTCTTGGTTTTGCTATCGAAATTACTGGCACGGAATTTCCTACATGGTTTTCAATTAAATTGATGAATAAATTTTATTCTATGTTACTATGTGGTAGCGGATTTTGCTAATTGATTTACTAATTGCCTATAAATTTCATAGCAAACGAAATGTCAACATTCATAACGAGGAGTATTTAGTAGTATCAAATGGAATATTTATAGACTTTTGCGTCAAATATCACTAACATGAAATTTTAATCGTAGGTATGATATGGAACATATTTGCAGTTTGTATAAATCTTCAAATATAAAGTAATATTTCATTAAAAATGATCACATTTCTGTATACAAACAATTTTTTTATAATAAAAATAAAATTTATATAAGCATAACTTGTTATCGGATTAGTAGTAATAGTAGTTATACAACATACCGAGAATAATATCTTTATAAATTATTGTGTAACATTGTTGCACAGCTGTAAATTATTTTATAGATCATCTATATGGACAAACTAATCCAGTAAGTTGAAATTATCACGTTCGTGCGAATCACTGTACTAGTAATCAACACTGAAGGAAACAGTAATAGAGAGAGAGAGAGAGATAATAGCAATAGCGTGTAGTAGCCTGAAACTATTAGTCTCTGTATCGCATAATTTTATTATTACAAGAATTTGAGATGCTGCGAATATCAAAGATATTCTCAATTTAAAATAATATAGGCGAACTAAATTTATGCGTAATCTTTTTACAAAACGATTAATACCGATCGAAATTTAAATTAAAAACAGAAAATAGAGAGAGAAAAAGATGAAATTTAATATAGAAGAATTAAAAACACTAATAAGTGCAACACAATAATTTATATAAAACGATGTAGCCTTGTTTGTTACGAAAACAATTCTCGATGCTAAAGTAGATATCTTACAACACGTTTGCAATATATGCATGTAAACTCAGCAGGTTGCCAGAATATGCGTCAACCCAATTGAAACTGAACTCTACGGTCGGCCGATCCGGGCTAATTAATTACTACGCTGCCGGCAAATTCATTACAACAAACACTGTTCCTAACAATGGTAGCGGCGTATGTTTAGCTACATTATCCTCACCGTCCGCGTCGCTCGGTCGAAATTGCTGCATATATATATTGAATGCAACGTGAAAATGTCCGCGCTACGCGATCGGTTGATTCACGTTTATATTTCGCATCTAATTTTTACATCGAGTTTGATAATTATCGCGGACAGAGCTAACACGTCGTATGTTGCTATGAATAATTATCACACACGTAGCAAAATGCGATTTGACATCGTTTATATCAAAGGTTTGCCCCCTGCACATAACTGACCATAATTAAACCTCTCGTTCAAAAAGGGAGATTAATTTATGCGCGATTATTCTCTAATGTAATTCACGTTATCTGGGGATAATAAAAATATATGTAACTATAATAATGCACAATATTAGAAGCTAAACATTTATCACAGGATGCCTTTGCACACATGCATTATCTTTAAAAAAATATTATAATTTATTACCAAGAAATCTCTAATTTTCTAATCTTTTAATTTTAAGCTCTTTATTTTGAAGTTTCTTGGTATATAAAGCGTTAAACATAGTGCTAACAAAGTACTCAATATATAAAACAGATAATCCGTCATATAAAATTGAAAATTGAAAAGTTTTTAATGTAAAATACATTTACGTTATATCAGCATTTTATAATATAAAATTTTTTGCTTGATAGCAACAGATATATTATGTTACGGCACATTAATAATAACGATAATGATGATGAGAGAGAGAATATCGTTTTACAATTGTTTTACATATATAATAGTTTCGTATAGAAATATAATAAAATATAATTATCGCGTTGTAAAATGATATTTCGCGTCGTTATATTACAATGTTGTAGAATTAAATTTCAAAAATTTTGTTCTTTTATAGTGGATAATAAAAAGAAAACACGACGAATAAGATGGGTAAGAGAGAAGGAGAGGATGGAAGAGATAATAATAAACGTTTCTCCATGGAGAAACTTACATTGTACGTTAACTTTGTGAAAAGTGAAGTAAACTCACGGAGGCGAAAATGTCGATAGAAATGCCCCGGAGATATCGCGGTCCAACTATAGAATCGTTAATTATAACGATAATTAGCGGGCACTTTTGCGATGGTAACTCTAGGGCGTCGATCCTTCACTTCGAATTCGCTATCTCAAGCCAAGTTCGAGAAGTATAAATGGAATATGATTTTATCCTATAATTAGCTGCTGGTGGAATTGGGAAACCTAGTTTTCCACGCAATATGATTTTGCTATAATTTCCCATATATATATATATAACAGGATACTTTTCCATGTATTAATATACAATCACTATTTTACACGACTAATATTAAAAATTACCAAAAGATGGACCGTCGTCGTATTTGTAGTTATTGTTTTTATCCTATAATTAGCTGCTGGTGGAATTGGGAAACCTAGTTTTCCACGCAATATGATTTCGCTATAATTTCCCATATATATATATAACAGGATACTTTTCCATGTATTAATATACAATCACTATTTTACACGACTAATATTAAAAATTACCAAAAGATGGACCGTCGTCGTATTTGTAGTTATTGTTAGTAAAAATCGTAAAAATATCCAGTTATTCTTATGGCTCAAGAGTAAAATCTGAGGTTGTTTGAATAGTCTTGATGAGAGTGCATTAGAGCAGGAGGGAGAAGAGAGCATGAAATGACGATGGTTTCTCGTAGGCGCTTATACAGTAACATAACGACATCGTAGAAGCGTTTAATGAGTTCGCCTGACAAGGGATTTCCCCGGTTTCTATGATTTCAGCCCTGCGAGAAGTCCTCGGGCGATTTTCGCGGGGCACAATGCGCCGCCTTCAACAATGTGCCATACAGCGGACAACTGCTCAAATGGTACCCCCATTACGATCCGGCTAGACCGTGCGCTTTGATCTGCCGCGGTGAGCAAACCTTCGAGGATGGCATTGGAAGGCGGTCGCGGCAGGAAGTGCCATCGAACGAGAGGACGATGCCGCACGATTCCACGGACAGTCTTCAATACGATAACGACGAGACGATAGTGGTGCAGCTGGCGGATAAGGTCGAGGACGGCACGAGATGTTATGCGGAGAGCACGGATGTGTGCATAGGCGGCGAATGTATGGTGAGTGGTATCTTCTTATATACTAGCACTTTTTTTTATTGAAGAATATAAGATCCTGGCGCATTTTGCAGTTTGGTAAAGTTCGCGAATACCGCTTGCCAAACGCTTCGTTAATTTGCATTTCTCTTAAAACTGAACAAATTGGACTTAGAAATGATGGTCCAAATCATTTTGGATTTATACGCGTTAATTACTTAAGTTACGTAGAAATGATTGGTCTAAAAATGTTGCTTATAGTAGAATAAATATAATAATGCACATACGACATCATTAATAATTAGAAAGTATTGTACTAAGAAAATATAAAGCAGACTAAATGAATAATATATTAATTTTGGCTATTGTTTACGTCCTATAATTGGCTATTGTTACGACTTGTTTACATTATGGAATTCTGTAACAAGTGTATAAATGTCGATATGCGCCGAAATTAAGTTTGAAATAAAAAATTAATGAGCAATCTAATTTACTAAAAATATAATAGAGATAATTGTTCCTCTCTATGGATATAATGTTTTATCGTTAATTCATTTTTTTAAACAATTCTTGTTTTTAAAACAAAATAAATTTTATGGGAAAAAGAAATCGATAACGTTATACTTGTCATATGATATGTTTAAATTGCGATATTTCCAATGGGTATTAGAATGCCAGTAGAATATATGACAAATGGCTTAAAGGTTTAATAAATCTGTCTATTAAAAATTGTGCATGAACGCGAATTTATTTTAATGGAATTAACAAGAAAAAACAATTAAAAAAGTGGTCGGAAATCAGAATAATCACAATTTTAAAAACCTTACGCTTCAGAATAGACAGGTAGAGATTGAGCTGGGAGCGTGACGTCATTATTCTGCGCTTATTGTAATCTGTCATTGATCCGATGCTTGAATTGAAAACCAACCGTGCTCTTGACTCTTTATTCCACTTCTCTCGAATATCTATCACGAGGCGGTGTTTGTGGCGAGAAAGAATATATATCAGCTATTTTATACCTGGCCTTGATTCACGTATATTACAATACTAACCAAGTATATAAATTAGATATATATTGTATTCTTCTAAAATATTATTAATATATGATTAAAATAATTAGCGCAAATTAAATTGTCGCAAACCATAAATATGTATTAATATTATCATGATTTTTATATCTCTTGAAATAATTAAATATGTACTAATCCGCGACTACAACAGAGTTTAATAGCTATGTAATATACACGAATGTGTATATCTTTTTAGCACACGATAATGCTATGTACTGAACATGTAGAATATGAATCGATACGTTAAATTACATCGGAAAAACTATCTTCCTCTGTTATTAATATATATTCTCACGTTTCAATTATAACTGAGGTGGCAGCATTACAATTCAAACGAATGTAGAATCGAATATTCCTCGCGAAAATTTTATTACTGGAAGCGGTTATCTGATTTAATCTTCTCTTGATTTTGTAGTAAAGGGGATAATTATCGATTCTTAACCGCGGCATTATTGGAAATCATGGATCTGTCATGCGCAGACGGCAGTATGTTAGGCACGAGGGGTATTAAGCGATAGGTACAGTGCGTCGCTTGTCAGTCACTATAAATTGTCGGTCGATCAACACGTAAGAGCCTTTCGTTAATTATGGAAATATAGCGATACTTAGACTCTATTAATTCAGCTAAAATTTAGATAATAATGAGACGTTATTAAGGCAAATAGTCCCGCGATGTGATTACGATTCACTATTTTATATAGGATAATTTTTGCATTAATCATCGTTGGTTGTAGAAAATGCATATTTTCGCTAATGTCAGACAAGTGTAATGTAAAAGCGTAGTAATTTTGTAGTAATAAAAGTTTTAAAAGTTTTAAAAATAAATCAAATAAAAGCTTAAAAGAACTCGACTAAGGAAAACATTATTTTTTCTCTGAAAGCTTTAATTTGATGCTCGAACGATTGTGCGATAGTAGTATTTCTTGATTCCGTTTTTCCGCATTCCATCTTTCCATGCGCAAATATCAAACAATTTCGATAAACCTAGGCCATTCTAGATATATGTGGAAATGCATTCGGAATGTAAATAACTCCAAGTAATAATGTTTGAATAAAAATTGTATTTTGATTTATTAATCCATTTAACTACTCGTTTGCATTGTTAAATCGATGGATTCCAGCTTGCCTAATACCTTGGGAATTTACATATTAAATTTGCTATTAGCTTGGCCAACGTGTTTTGAACATCGATATAATCCGATCTGTAATTTTGATCGAATAATTACTCAATTAATTAATCAAGAATCATGTGTGAATCGAACAATATAATCGAAACGTTACGTGAAACAATAAATGGGAGTAGCCTTTACATGTGTACATAAAAGCCATGTTTGAAATTAATTGTATTAACGTAAATGCAAATTAAATGAAATTATCGATAATATTTAGCGTGAAAAATTAACTCCAAGTTAATCAGAGATCAAAGAGTTTGTAGTTGTGTGGAAACGGAGAGCGCTAATATTATATGCATTTCTATATACGTATGCGCATCTCAAGTATAGATATGCGTGATTGCTCTTCTTTATTCTTGTAATTTTTTTTTTTTTTTCGAGAAGTAAAAATTTTAAGAAAAATTTCAGAAATTATTAATTAAGTAGATAAGCAACGTTCTTAAATATTTTACTTCGAGGATGGTCTTAAGCGCTGGATTAAATTGAAGGCGTTACTTAAGAATTTAACCGCAATTGCCGCGTCTCCTGTCGAAACTTCGTGAAGATGTAACATTTGGAATTAGTGGGGAAACTCTCGGAGAAGATTTTCGCGCTAGACGTCGACGCATAAGCGCGTGTACGTATCAAATAGTAACTTAAACGCGTTCGCAACTCGGTTCTCGGTGTCGCTACGACGCGGGCGTGTTTCACATCTTGTTGTTAAAATGTAACATAACGAAGCGTGCTCCTAACTCAGTCTTCTGCTAATATTTAACATGGGCGTGTCGAGAAGCCCGATCTCATCGTCCATTAACTTAATTTGATCTACGTCATATGCATATATATGCATATAACGTACGTATATATGCGTGCATATATTTTCTCGAGAAGCATAATGAAGATTGTCCAGCATGTTATTGTACAATAATGTTGCGTAGTCCGTTTTAATAAGCTCAAAAGCATGCTTTCTTGATAACTTTTAATGATTTGATATCCTAATAAGATACTTGTAAGTTTCATTAAAATCTCTCATTATTTTCTTGAAAATACTCGAAATTACCGTTACATTGTACAGTCGGATATATTTAAAATGCTTATATACCTCTCTGTTTAAAAAGAAATTATCTATTTAATTAATGTATTTAATTAAATAAAAATTCAATTATATCGTTGTTTATATTCATCATAACTACAATTCGTCATTTATATTTAGATTTTAATATCATCTCTCATTTGCAATTTTATTACGAATAGCAAAATTAAATTATTATAAAATAGAATTATAAAAAACTAGACACGAAATAAATTTTATTACATATTAATATTTTATTAGTACAATATAATTATTAAAATATGTA